CGTCGTGTTCATTTCCGCGACGGATCGGCCAGGCTAGAGGTGTGATTATCACTAAAAAGCACTTCCCGGCCACAGTGCTGGCACCCCCGAAAGTAGTGTCCTTTTAAGTATCGGTGCGTGCCATTTTCGGTCTTTAGTCGTTACTTCTTTTAGGGACAAAGGGGTGCAAAGGAGTTAGGACCACGCCGCCCCAACCCCTCTGGCGTCTCTGTCTCATCGTAAGCGCGGAAACGACACGACGGCGACGAGGAGGAGGCGCTGGCACGAGGCCCGGGCACCGGGTACCAGGCCCTCGGAGGTGTCCTTGCCTCCAATGCCGGGTCAGACCCCCCCCCCCTACCGCCTCCACCCCCCAACAGCACGACAACAACACGTTCCCACCTCATGGAGACGTCGTGCTCCGCCCCGCCCGCGCCGCTCGGCACAGGGCCGCGTCTATATGGGGCGCCTCGTCTATTGGCCAGGTGTGTATCGAGCGGTGCAGAGGGCCGCCCGGCCCGGGCTGCGACTCTGACTGCCTCGGCCACCTCGGCTCACAACTCCGGGTACTCGCTTTGGACCCGTTCGAAGCGGACCGGTTGCAGCCGGGGCCGCCGGAGCCGCCGGTTTGCATTCACTCACGCGTAGAGAGAGGGTCTCATTGACCTCGTGGTGTGCCCGGGCATGCGCACGCGTCGTGTGTTTACGGTCTGGGTTTGTTGTCTGGCCAACCGACTAATCGAGCAGGAACAAGATAAGAGCAGGCAGATAAATAGAGGGGGGAGGACCCGCGCTGCTGGTCGTGGCCGAGGTGGGCGTCGGCGGCGGCGGCCGCCCCCAGTACAGTCGCACAAAGGGCCCGGCGTATTGACACGCAGGGCAGTCAGTACACGCCGTGGCGAGGCGTCGCTGGCATTCCGTATCGACTGGCGAGAGGTGTTTGAAAAGGGCGAGCAGGCGCCCGCGACGACTGGGCGGAGGGCCGCGGGGGGGCCGCCTGCGGGGCGGCGCGTGCAGGCCCGTTACGCAGCCGTGTGCGGCGGGGCTGCCTACCGCGTGGCCCGCAGGGGCCCCGGCCCAGCCCGAGGACACCGGCCGCTGTCAGGCGGGCCGATAACGGAGCGGAGTGTGGCGCGGGGCAGGGCGGGGCGGCTCCGGGTGGACCTCCACGTTCTCGAAGAGGAGGAAGGAGTTGGCACGGGCACGGTCCAAAATGGTTCCTCGCCGCCGCGGCCCTGGACGAGCGGTAAGCG